ATGGACGCAATACCTTTACAACTGAATTCATATCAGACATGAGGGGCGTGAAACTCTCTCTGATCAAGACCTAGATGTTTTGAATGCTTCAGGCGGTGTTATGCAGGAGTCTTCTTCAAATGTTAATAAAGCAGACTGCACATCTTAAGTAATTTGGTTCGGCATCTTACATGTATTACCCTCTTTAGCTTGAGTGTCTTCATTTGAAATCTTCTATTTGGGCTCCCTGCCCTTATTGGAAAGTCAGAAATTGAAACCCCCATTAAATGATCCCCAGTGAGAGAAGCACCTGCGCGAGAGAAGCTATTGACAGTGTGCAAGTGCAATATTGACACAGCAAATACATGCAGGTCCTCCTTCAAGAAAATACCAGTAGCACCTTCTCTGTCTGCAAATAGTGCCCTCTTTTAGTCAGGACATTGTAAACTTTTTATGTTTATTTCCTTCTTATGGATATAAGAATGTTCCAATTTCTGAGGTCTCTAAACTTATAAACTGAAATAGTTCAAATTAAATTTGACAGTTGACAATTTAAAATTTCCTAAAATTGTAAGCTACAATATTGTAAATTATGCTGGTACTGGAATATGTTTTATGCTTACACATCATATCTTGAGCAGCTAAAAGATGCAGTCACTGCAGAAGACAGGTTTCTAGTGTAGACAGCATACATGTATGTTCCTTCTATCCTCACTGCTATATCTACTTTTATCCAGTCAGCAACAAGTGTCCAATATCCCTAAACAGTAAAGGAAAGGATACTGGGCTGTCAAAATATCGAGGGCGTTATCAAAAATACAGAGCTGCAAAAAGTACTACGCACCTTGTCATTTGAGATTCCCGTTGGCGATGACGGGGGCAGATTCAGTGACCCTCCTGTGTTTTTAGACTTTATTCAGAAATACATGTAGAAAGAAAAGTTTTGTTAAAATACCCAGATAAATGACTCATTAATGCTGATTATGATTTATTTGAAAGAATAAAATTTCGTGCCTCACTGCAACTTGAAATTAAATTTAAAAATTATAATCTAGGACAACAAAACAGAAAAAGTGATAGGAATTCCAGCTATGGCAAATAAAAGTTTTTTCCCTCAAACTGCATCACCAAATAAAAGTAATTAAAGCAACAAATAATTCCTCATTCAAGAGACATTGACTGGCAGATTCTTCAGAAGTAGGGCATTTCCGATACCCCATAAAATGGCGTTTGCAACGTACATGCACGAATTATGGTGACGTAGGTCTTACTACAGCCGATCTGACTTGTTTGCAGACGACATTGCTCCTGTTGGTTTGGCAACATCCAATGTTCTTCATTATATTTTTCCATGTAGGATTGTAGTCAACTTTCAACAACTGAAAATGAAGCCATAACAAATTTAGTACAGCTAAGAACAAATTTTGGTGAAAGTAAGCACTAACTCATACATTTTTTTGTTTTTGGCCCTAACGTTACTGTAGTCAATCCCTCCCCACCCGGTCATGCTATTTAGCATCAACAAGCATCAACACACACAAGTAGCGTCAACAAAACGTCAACAACTTGAAAATACCTTCTAAAAAGACTGAAGATTTAAAAGTGGTTATATTATATTTTAAAGACTCTAACACTTGACGCAGTGTAAGAGAAACACCAAATTTGCTTCCAGATTCTCGCAGGAAAACGAAATTTTTTTGCGATGTATGGGGGCCGCCATCTTTCTTTCCTCTGCTGTCTATGGGGAAAACAAGATAGCGACCGGTCAGACTGCACAAAGTACAGGCCCGACTGACTGTGTCACTCAAATTTCAACACTCAAATATCATTTCAGACAGATATGATACATTGAATTTGATATGTGAGATCCTAATTAACAATAACATGCTATACAAAAGAATTTGCATAAATAGGTACGTTTGAATGACTTGTTGACACTTTGTTGACGCTAAATAGCATGAGCCCTCCTCACCAGCTCACAAAAAAGTACAACTACAAGCTTTCTATGTGACTATAATGAGAGTAGGCCTATTAAAAATGACAGAAAATGAGAACTGAAAAAGGCACCAAATTATACCGGAAAAAAAGTAAAAAATATTGTCCTTTAAACGCTTAACTAACCAATACCATCTCCTACGCATCACATATATACCACTTACTAGCAATAAACTTTGAATAAAATATTTCCACGATTAAAACTAAGTCAATGACGAACCTGTTGTTACTAGTTGATGCGCATGTAGTTACAGCGCCCCCTATATTTCCGTTACCAAAATAGCGCCCTCAAGGAAAAGTTTTTGGAAAATTGTCCACAAATCTTAAATAGCGCCCTCAAGGAGGTTTTTGAAAAGTGACAGTATATCTCTAAATAGCGCCCTCAAGAAAGGTTTTTTCTAAAGAAAATCATCCATACATCTTCAATAGCGCCCTCACAAACAAGTATTTTGAAAAGTGTCCTTGCAGGGTGCACCGCTACAAGTAAATTCCCATAGACAGCAGTGATAAATCCCCAATATTTTAAAAATACTCACAACTCTCACAGGTGTTCAGGCTGCACAGAAAAACGATGTTCCACACGTCCTCTTTCA